CACGTAGTGTTTATTTTAAGTCTCATATTCCACATTTCATTTAGTGTAAAGATACAGATCATATTAGTCACTACTTTTATTTATTAGACATACTTGATGTGCAATCATAATTTAAAGGATGTTACATTTTGAGAACAGGGCAGTGGTTTAGGAGATGGGAAAACAGTTGATTTTTAACTTTTTATTTTGGTATTTCAATGTTTGGTCTGCTTCTAGAGGTTTGACAACTAAAACTGTTTGCTAATGTTGCACATATTTGTATGTTGTTCATCCGTATGCTAACTAGCATCAATGTCCTTGACTAAAAGATAAAGAGAGGAGTTTAGATTGTGCTGTATCAGGACTCTGCTGTCATGCTGTAACACCCCAACATTCCGGATATTTAAATGTGTAAAAGATTGAAACACTTAAAATTATACTGCATGTTTGTACTGTATGCTAGTGCTGGAAAACATTTATAACACTTCTACTTAATCTGGTTCTTATCCCCGCTAGTAAAAATCAGCATGTGCACCGTAGAGTTGTTAAATAATCCTTTTTAGGATGCATTCCTTTTTGGACACGGATGGTGATACATGAGTGCTGGGATAATACAAAAGTTTTGGTATTTTGATCTCCTTACCATCTTTTTTGCTTTAAACATTAATTTATGACAATAACACATTTGACAGAGTCTAAAAGCACATCATCGTGTGTGAGCATCTTATATCTGCAGTTTAAAGTATAGCTAAATTCTAATGAAGCAAATGAAGAACGCAATGCAAATGGAGTTTGCGGTGTAGTTCTATTAATTTCTCAGGGATTTGGATAAAAATGTAAATACATTAGACTAAAATCTGCCTTTGTCACCATGAATAGCAAGGCGTGTGTGTGTGTGTGTGTGTGTGTGTGTGTGTGTGTGTGTCTGTGTCTGTGTGTTTGTTCCATTTGATGAATGGCATTTTTATTCACACGCTTGTAGAACAAAGCGACTGCTCAGTTCAAGCTACTGTTGGATATCCTGTTGATATCACACAGACCCATTCTATTTAGACTGTGTGTGATATTGTGTGTGTGTGTGTGTGTGTGTGTGTGCAAGAGAGAGAGAGAGATTGTGTGTTAATACACACAGCAGTCCTTGTACAGTGCTGCTGCATGGCTGCGGTCAGTGACACGTCCATTCTGTGTAGCTAACAGTGTTGTGTGGTGTGAGCTGCTTTTGTGACTTTCATTCCAGCAGTATCCAGAGCTGTCGCCTTTAAATGTCATGACTGACCAGTAGATAAAGGACGTGGTGAATGGAGTATTTAAAAGTGACATATTTAAAAGTCAAGTATTGTCATGTCCCTAACAATGTAATTTATAATAGTTGCTCATGATAATTATCGAACCAATATCAGGAAATTATAATGACAGTCCAATATAATAATGCTATACTAAAAAGTCTTAAAAAATGAAAAATATCCCAAAATAAAAAAAAAGAAAATGCAGTAATTTGCCTCCAAATTTAAAAATCACGCTAGGTGTTGCAGGTATGGCTTTCTAAATAATAATATATAAAAAGAGAAGTGTTGCTAACTAAATAACTGGATTTAACTGTTTCAAGTTTAATTGCCATTTTAGACGGTGTAGCTACCTATCTGGGTTCATAACAGTTGTTTAAGTAACTGTCACGTCATCAGGCATTAGTCATTTCATTTAATCTGGAATTTTTTATTTTTCACAGACTCATTGAAGGTAGTTTTGTATTATTACATTTAATCTGTTACATATCTACATCTTGAGTTATACATGAGGTTAAATGAAACTTCCTGTAATGAAATCAGTGTTATTTCTTGTCATTGTAGAGGTGTGTTAACAGGGGGAAGTAGAAGTGAGAGGAATGAGGGTGAATTCACTGACAGACGTGTTAGTGAACGGTATAAGTCAACACAGTGACTTATTTTTAGCTGCCTGGCTTTCCTTCCTGCTTCAACATGGGTCCAAACACACACACACCAAACACACACCCAGTTTTTTGTTGTTTCTGTGCCCTTCAGGTTGACATCATGCATTCCCTAGCTCCTCACCCTAACCTTAAACATACATAAAGCATATACATACTCCTATCATAATGCTTACCCTAACTTTAGTCCGACCCAACTTCCAACCTTGACTCTTACTTAGTGACGACCTGCAAAATGTCCCCACATGACAAAGCGTCCCCCAGCACAATATTTTTTGTCCCTAAAATAAAATACACACACACATCCACACACAGAGATAGAAACAATAGCAGCGACACTTGAAGCGAGTGACACTACGGTTTTTGCTCTATGCATGTTTGATTTCCTACCACAGACTTGTGCAGCTGTACTTCATGGTGCAGAGCTCTTACTGTAACCTAAATCAATTCTATTTGGGCTGTAACCCATTTGGACATGCTCAGAGGTCAATATACATATGCATTACATGTCAGTGGCTCTGCTTTTCTGATGGTGGTTAAAGGTTTGACCATTGGTCGTGTTTGCAATTATCTGCAATAACAATGAAGAATTTGCTGTCAATTTATGGGGCATTATGTTGTGAATGTTTCCAGAAAACAAAATTCTGGAAAGTTCCAACGACAATGACATGCAAACTTACTGTAGATCCAGCTCCTGTTAACATTCTCTTTGTCTGTGTATGGATATTTCCAAAAAAACTTGACGAGATTTTTTCTGAATCTTATCTTTCACTAATGCGCTCTGTTGCCAGCATCCAACATTAGGAGCTGAGATAAACCTCCCACTCTTCATCTAACATCCACCATGTGTTTACAAAGAGGAGCCAGAAAATAAATGATGTGATTTCATCACAACGTTTGCCTAAATATAAACCGTTTCATCATCTACGGGTCTGGGAGCTAAACAGCAGGTGAAATCCATTAAAGTTGTTTTCTTTTCTCATGCTTCTCTGGAGATGGACTTGAGTACGAGACGTTTTTACAACACATACAACTTGGTTTTAAACTTCAAGGTAAAGTTAAAGTATTTATTATTAGAACATGGTCAAATTATGACCTAGCATTATAACTGGTGCCCAGATCTTGTTCATATATTTTGATCTTATAGTTAACAGTGACAACTTTGCACCTTTTTTATTTCCATTACTCACTAATAAACACTTAAACAAAACAATTCATTACCAGAAAAAGGTGTTTAAATTAATTTCAAATTTTGGAACAAATCCCCAGACTATTATTTATAGTCAACATCACACAAGTCTCTGAATTCTTCAAACAGAGACCCTCCAGTGAATTGGGGAGTATAACGTGCCTATGATTTAACTAGGGCAGAGTGCAGTCTTGTAGAGGCGCTGAGTAGGCTGTCCTGGTACAATGCTCTAAATAACACACTATTTATCTAACAGTGTCAGGGTATTTCTGTTTATGTGATGTTTCAGATGGAATCCAATTAAATTGGGTCGGTACCGGATTTGTTCTACTTTCTTTAACTTTAGTGAGGTAGCGCTTTAAGTAGGACAAAGTTTTCTAATACCTGTTTCTGTATGTAAGTAGGTGCTAACGCAGGTCTTATAATGGAGCACAACCACATAGTTTGAATCCTAGAAAACCTACACATACATTTCCTTTATTCTTTATTCTTCATTCTGATTTCTCGTTCTCACACCGAGTAAGTAAATGTGAATAAATCGATACTAAATTTTAAGTTCAAAATTTAGTTCAACAGATTTGTTCGAAAATGGAGCCATTCTAAAACCAAGGTTCCACTGTATGTCATTACATATATTTTTTGTAACATTGTTTGTTGGCACACCGTGGGATTTTTCATGTGTAAAATGTGTTGTGGCTCAACAAAGGTTGGAAAACACTGTATTAGATTAAATAAAAAGAGCAGGGTAATAGGACAGAACAGGAGGCTGTAGAAACATGACATCAGTGCTGGATTAGATTCACTGAGAGTGGTCGATGAGAGTAAAAAAAAAAAAATTAGTTTTATTTTACACTTAAGTTTAAACATATGATATCACATAGAGCAGATGCAGGGTTTGTCCTTCGCATTGAAGCGTTAGCTCACTTTGGTCTTCACTTTACTGCTCTGCTTTTATAAGTCCATTGAGAAATAGGAAGAGAGAACGTAGCTTTGGACACTTTCAGACTTGCACCAGGTGCACTGGCTGCATTTTATTTCTGCTACTGGCAAGATGAAGCAGATATTTCCAATGCATATGCATGTGAGTATCTGTACACACACACACACACACACACACCCACACACACACACAGACACACATTTCTCCAGCCACTGTCCTTTTCCTGACTCCCATCTGTCTTTCTGTGAAACTCATGATCCTCTTTCTCCTCTCTTGGGCTCATTTTGAGTTCCATCCATAATTTAAATACACGATACACATATTTGTCTGTGTGTATTAGATACAGTTTTGTCCTTCTCTGTTTGTAAAGGCTGGGTTTCTCTGTTGGAACTATCCACATCACTTACTTTAATTTTCAGAATTTGTCTTACTCTAAATTTTCCATCATCCAAATGTAGCTGGGAGTTGTTTTTTCTCTACCCTACCTCAACATATGGTTGACTTTGGTTCACCCAGTAACAGGAGGTTCTGCAGTGGGGGTGAACCCCGTCTTGAGTTGAAAGGAAAGGAAACTAGCACTCCCTGCAAGTGTCTGTCACCTCTGGATTATTTGAATGTCATCCATCCGCCCAAAGCCTCTCACTGCTCCACTTGTGTAAAGTGGCTTATGTTTAATGGAACATTTTGCACTTTTCTGTGTGTGCACAGATATAAAAACACAAAGTTGTAAAAACCTCATCACTAACACCAGTTAGATTATCTCACCATCAGCTCGTTTTGGCATTAAGACGTTTTCCACTCACTCATTATTGTAATTTCTAAACAGAGGTTACTTTTCTTCCACCCTAGCCCTAACTATACTTTAAAAGATGTATATTATTATATATATTGTATTAATCAATATATTAATATAAATTAACAGAATCTCTTTTTTTTGTCTCTTTCAGGTCTTTCCACAGCAAAGAGAAAGTTTGCCGACTCCCTGAATGAATTCAAATTCCAGTGTATTGGAGATGCTGAGACGGACGATGAGATGTGCATAGGTGAGCCTTCTGATGTGAAACCCAACACCAGTGCAGTACAGGCAGATGAGAGCTTGTAAAAAGAAATCTGCAGACAAAGCTTTTCCACTTACAGTCACTGAAATAGAAACAGACGTTTCAGCTGGAATATAAAGAGCGGGCTGATTTTCATATAAACAGTTTTATATTTAGCGTTTTCTGAGTCTTCTCTGGGCCGTTTGTAGTAACGATGCTTTAGTAATAGTTTAACGTGACTGTCTGTCTTTGTGTTTTTATTATCTTTACAAAAAACTACTGTCATGTGAGTCATATGTATTTTCTATGATCTCATTCTAAAATATTTTATTTTCTCTCACTCGGTCCGAGCTGAAACAACTGCCCCGCCCTTTTACTGCCTGATTCTGTCAGCTGCAGCTCTTCACTGACCTGACCTAACCCACTACTGTGGTCTAACTGTCTAATAGACTATCTGTTCTCAACAGCTTACTTATCACTTGGCTGCACTACAAGCTACCACAGGGGGTGCTCTTGTTTAGTAGCTTAGAAACTGACCAGTCAATTTAGCATCATATGTCCCACTAAGTGCCCTTTTTTACAGTGACAATGGGAATTCCTTCATTGCAAAAATGTAGAAACACAACATGTTCATTCTCAGTCTCTCAGTGTGATGTCTGTATCATTCAGTGTGATTGGTTCAGAGTCTGTTCCTGTGTGATTAAGATGACTTTTGACTGCATTTTATAGGCTTCATCAAAGGGGTTGGTTTTTAATACATTCCTTGGTCATGAGATCCCTCTCTTTTAGATTTGGATCCAAATCCTGTAGCTTCAAGTTGTGTGTGTGTGTGTGTGTGTGTGTTACAGGGACAGAGTGGAAACTCTGGACCAAAACAATGCAGTCGAGCCTCTCTTGCCAACAAGCAGTGAAAACAAGCAGTGAGCTGTGCTGTGCTTTGAAAGCTCCATAGAAACAAACTCTGAATTGCGTTTTCATTTCCAGTTAATTACTTTGCTGTGTCATGAAAATACTGGAGGTCCAAGGACAGAAACGAATCCCCTTCATCACTGCTTGAACAGGCCAACTCTTCGCAGACAACATTTCTCAGTTGCCCGTGTTTTTTAACGCTGACATTTTCTATCCCCGTCACTTTTTTTTGCATGTATTTCCTGTTTTTCATTTGCTTTTCCTGTGTTTCCCCCGTCTGTCCTCAGCTAAGTCTCTTCAGGAGTTTGCAGCAGTTCTACAGAACCTGGAGGATGAGAGAACACGGATGGTGAGTGACCTAAGAACCTTTTAGGTGTTAAAGTTGATGGATATGACCTTTCCATCACCCGGGTCACATTGTACATCAGTGTGACTCATGTTTCTACCTGGAGTCGTTCACTACAATGTACGGTGAAATGCATAGTGATTTGTCCAGTCGGTGACTCTGTGGTGTGTGTGCCCACAGATCGAGAATGCCAATGATGTTCTCATTATGCCTTTGGAACGGTTCAGGAAAGAACAAATCAGTGCTGCCAAGGTAAGAGCACAACATCAGAGATGGTTCAGTATCAGGTCTAGCACTTCCAGTGTCCAAAACAAATTTGACAATCTTGGATGTCAGTAAAAACAGTCCTCAGTTATCATTCTACATATTTGTTGACTCAAAACCATACCAGACATTACAAAAGGAAAACAAACAAACAAAAGATGTTAAATAGATTGTGTGAATTTTAACAGGGCCAAAGTCGACAATAGCAATTATGGTACCTTTTTTTTACGAGAGGTTACAGCATCGTCCCTGCCAGCAGATGGCGCCCCAGACAACCATACAAATATATATTTTCAACACTTAAATTTAGCTGGTTTAGGTAAATACTACTTTCAGGCCACGTGGGGGCAGCGATTAGCAACAAGATAACTGGTTGCTGGTACAAGTTCTGGTCTTTCTGCCCTCACACTGCTTATACTATTAAATATATTGTGTCAAATATAAGCAAAAGCAAGTATAAGGAGAAAGACTTGCAGTACAGTAACTTTTGATATTACTTTACTAAATACTACACAATACTACATATTACAATCTTAGCAATCCTTCCTGTCCACTTAGACTTAGCATAACAGGTTGTTTATTCACATAAAAGCCACATGCAGAAAATTTTCTATTCAGCAAACCTAAATATTTTGGCAACTTTTAAAGTTCTCCATTTATCAATTAGTCATTCCAGCTGGAACTGAGAGAATCTAGAAAACATGTGTATTTAATGACATGCTGTGGCCGAATATTTATTATATTAAATGTTTTTCCCCTTGAGTGGCTGGATGTGCGTCATCGTGTGTACCATTACTTACATGACCTGGATAGTAGATTAGAGGAATGTATAATCCAACTGTAAATCACTGCCTCCCACTGGGGGCTCTGTCAGGCCAACAGGTCTCCCATGTGGCATGGTCATGGTTGTTTCTGTCCTTGTAAAGATGGGTCTTTCTTAAACAGGACTTATGAGTCTGAAAAACCCTCTAAACACTCTAGAGTACTTTTTTGAGGTGTAATCTCGGGGCTAAAGATGTCGTCTTTGAGTGTCTTCTTACTCTTACAATCTTCTTACTGTAGGTCGTGCTATAGTCTCCCTTCCACTCCATTAGCTGTATGACCTACATGAATGGACGCAGTGGTCCCAGAGACGCCCGCGGTTTGTCACGTTGTGTCAGTGCAGCCCGTGTTAATCCTGATGTATCAGGTCATCTTTCATTTGTAAAATGTTGGCCTGGTTTAATACAGCAACACATAATCTGTGTCGGGTCAACGTGAGCGATGTTCGAAAAGAAGCCATTTCATCTTAGTCTGGCACAGTCTTATCTTGTCCTAAAGCATCAAGAGCTGCTGAAAGAGGCCAGGAAAACAAATGAAGGGGGGCTGAGGAAAGGTTGATGGAAAATTGAAGAAAAATATTATAAAACAACTCACAAGGGTTGTGGTGTTAAACACATTTGTGCAAAATATAGAATCTCAGCTACTTTTAGCACAAAACTAAACATTGAAATGACACTAAATGTGCTGTTCTTATTTATGTGTAACATTTAAAAGTTTTGAAATGTCACCTTCATCGAACTTCCTGAAACAGGAAGAGGAATATCTGTATATACCAACACTGAGAACGTTTTGAAAACCACAAAAGAACATTTAAATAACTATGAAAATGTTATGATATAGATCTTTCAGGTCCATCTGTCTGTCTCTCTTCCCTCCTGTCGGCTTCTCTGCGTCATCACAAACGTTTGTGTCCTGTGATTCTCTGTTAGTCTCACTCATGTCACCTGGTGCCCTGGGTATATATACTGTATACTTCAGTCCCTCACTCAGTCTTGGCCTGGTCGTTCTTGTTGTTGTACAGTCCTGCCTGTCATATTTGTGTCACAACACTAAATGTTCTTGTTATCTTTGTGGTCTTTTTGTCTTTGGTCCTGTATTTGGATCCTGCCTTCTTCCTCGTTTTACAAAATGTTACAGGATGAAGTCGTTCAATTCTGCTATGATGTGTCCTTGGCCATTACTTAAGTACCTTTTGTAACGTGGCCTTAGATCATTGTGTAGACACTTCCTTTTTTTGCCAAGGTTTAATATTCAAGGTTAAGAAGAAGAATATATTTTAATTCAATTTCCATTGTACCCATGTGGCAGTTAAATAAATGAGTGTTTTATTTTAGCTCCTTGTTGCAGGAACAAGCAGAGACATGATGATGTGTGGGTGAGGTGCATCATGTTTTAAACTGTTGACGTTTCATAAGCAGTTAAGCGCAGTCTGACGTCAGACGGTGCAGGAGCAGGACATGATGCTGCATCAAAACCATTATTATATTATCGTCCTCTAATGACTAAAGAACAGTCGCCAGTGAGTTAACGGATTTCATACTGGGGAGACACTGCCACCTGGCGGCTGAATAAAACAGCTTCATTTTACTGCAGAGACTTATTGAACAATATGACGAGTAGAATAGAACTTTATTAATCTCTGGAGAGTTCCCTTTGGGAAATTTAGGAGTTTAGGAAATTTACTTAACAGCGTTTTGGAAATATTGCATTGCACTCCTCAAAATATCAAACATCACAATGCCCAATATCTCACATTCTAAGAGAGTATACGCTGAAAAACATGCACAGGCAGCCGACTGTTTGTTATTTTGCAGTGAAGTGTGTGATGAGGAAACTCGGAATTGAGAAGTGAATTTTAAACCTGTTCACCTCAGACAAAGTCTTCACAAGAGTGAAGAGTGAACATTCACAGGAATGTTGGACATTTCTGATGCTTTCTGCAGCTGTTGCCTGTTCCTCCGCTCACCCTGAGGAATAAGCAGAACTGATTTTGGAGCGAAAACACCTGTGTCATGTGACCACAAGCGACCACATGTCAGAGGTCAAAACTGATGAGGTTCCCGTTAGATATACAGACTAAAGTCTTGCATTCAGAAAAAATAAAAAATAAATCTAACAAGAATTTGGACCAAAAATACTGAGGAGAAAGTTCCTCTACAGCTTTATTTGAACTTTAGGTATTTTTCCCAGAGGAACTGGGGAATAACTTTGTTGTTTTCACCAATAGCTTTTCATCATGTTGCCAGTACCGACAGCAATAAACAATAAACTAAAAATAAAATGTGAACGGATGACAATGGAAGACATTTGGCTCAGTCATCAGAGCAATTCAGAAACGGCATTTACAGCCATGTTTGAAACGCTCACACAGCTTCAAGTGCTTTTACTGCAGTGCCAAATCATTTGATTCTAATAACTGACATCATTTTACAACTTTGTGTTCTGACATTGGTTCTAATTTAGGCTGAAGATTGTGTATTTTAAGATTAAAAGCAGCGATGCAGAGTAAAGAGGATTCACACTCCCCAATTTTTTTAAACTGTTTTCCACCCTGAGGAAATACACACCCGGCTCTATCTTCTCCCTGGTTTACCATCGATTCATGCTGTTGAAATTGTTGATCTCAGCTGTTATTTTATCAGCAGCTGTCCTCTACCTGCAGAGACAGTTGCAAACAGGATTTCCTGAAAAAGAAAAGAAACTAAATATAAAAATGAATGCTAATCCCACACTAGAAGACCATAGACAGCGTTAGTAGAGCCATATGTAAAAGCAAAGACTGAATCATCAAACATTTCTAAGGAGGCATTTGTTTGTTTCCTCACTACAGGAAGCCAAGAAAAAGTTCGATAAGGAGACAGAGAAGTATTGTGCCGTTCTGGAGAAGCATCTGAGCCTTTCAGCCAAGAAGAAAGAGTCACATCTGCACGAAGTGAGGCTGCATCCTTTCACGTCTGCCCTCTTTTTTCTTACACCTGATTGTTTCCGCCTGACTTTGTGCTTCTGCTTTAGGCCGACAACCAGGTGGACAATGTGCGGCAGCACTTTTACGAGGTCTCATTGGAGTACGTCTTCAAAGTGCAGGAAGTCCAGGAAAGGAAGATGTTTGACTTTGTGGAGCCGGTGAGAATATACTCTTTTTTTTAAATTGACCTATTTAGTAAACATCTTCCTTCAAAGTTGCTGAACTTCGTGTACTTTTATCTGACAGCAGCTTTGAGTTGTTCTGTATCCACTCCCTTTGAGATACGCAGTACACGCCCTGCAGCTGCTCTGCTGACATCATTCCTTTGTTGTCAGGAAACGGCAACAAAGGATTTTGCTGCAGAGTTGTGTGAGGACACAGACAGTTTGGTGGCTGTGACCAATTTCAGAAAGCAAGTTTAACCTCTTGAGTTTTTAGTACACAGAGACTTCTGTTTGGGAAGTTCCCTTTAGTTTTTTGTCACTCAATCAATTTCACTTACCACACAATCTCACCTGTTGCCCATCCTCTCATTTTACAAATCCAAACTATTTTCTTTTCCTTTAGTATTCTTATTATTTTTCGTAGTTTTCCTCCGACCCTTCTTGGTTTCCGTCTCATTCACCTTGTTCTTAACTTCAGATGTTTGCTCTTTATTCTTCAGTGTCTTGCTGTTTTGTTTCTCTCAGCTGTTGGCGTTCCTCCAAGGCCTGTTCACCTATTATCACCATGGCTATGAGCTTGCAAAAGACTTCAGTCATTTCAAGACAGACCTCACCATCAGCATACAGAATGTAAGAGTGCACGCAAAACACACCCTGTGAGACATAAAAAACTTTTTTTTTATAGAAATACTAATATGCACAATTGTGTTTTATTATTTGAGTTAAGTTGAGAAAACAATGTGATATAACAGAAGTATTGTAGTATGTAAATATGTTATCTTCAGAGGTTAAACATTTTAAGTGAATCATTATTGTAACAGAGATCTTACAAGACACAAGATATACAAGAGTAATATATAAATATGATCAACAAAGTCTCACTATAGTTTGAATTTGCCAGATTTTGCCATTATTTTTCTGTTATTGCATCATCCTCACCTCGTGTCTGCACAGACTAGGAACCGCTTTGAGAGCACGCGGTCTGAGGTGGAGAGTCTGATGAAGAAGATGAAGGAGAATCCACATGATCACAAGAGTGTCAGCCAGCACACAATGGAGGGATACCTGTTTGTACAGGAGAAGCGTATGTAGCCCTTTCAAATATTAAAACCTCAGTGGTTGAGCGCCACAGTTAATGTCCGTCCAACAAACAAAGAAGTGTAAACTGATGTTTGAGCAGTGGTTTCAAATGTGGGGGACAGGGCCCTAAAAATGGCACTCAAACCTATCGCACATGGGCCATAGAAAGGAGAATTAATTTTAATTTTGATTTGAATTTTTTTGTCTCTTTAAGGGGGATTGCACTGGGATTTTTTTAAGGATTTAAGATTTTTTATTTCTTTCTCTTCCTTTGTTTCTGTTTGTCCTCTTTTTTCCCATCAGGCTCATTTGTTTCTACCTGGGTGAAGTACTACTGCACATACCATCGTGACCCTAAGAAGGTGACCATGGTACTGTTTGACCCTAAGTCTGTGGGGAAAATGGTGAGTTGATCTAGGACGTTAAATGCAGATAAAGAATGTATCACAGAGTGATACTGGGTTTTTTTCCCCTTTAAATTTTTCATTTTATTTCTGTCTTTGTCAGGGAGAAGAGGAGAGTTTTATTCTGAAATCCTGCACCAGGAGGAAGACTGACTCTATAGAGAAGAGGTTTTGTTTTGATGTGGAGGCGGTGGACAGGTTAGTGGACAGTAGTTTGAACTTTACAAAAAAGTGCCTTTGTATCTTCACAACATTTTGGGTCTCTGTGGATCCTTTAAAAGTCTTAAAACATATACATTTTTTTAAGTTATTAAAACTTAATTTCGGTAATTTTCTTAGAGTGCCATTAAATTTCAACTGGGCGGAATGAAAAAAAAGATGTCAATGTGAGATGCTGTTTCACCCGTGCACGGCCCGGTGTAACCACGCAGTAGAAGCACATGCATGTAGCATGGACGTTCCACACTGTTTAGCGGGCAGTGTGTTAGACACGTGCCACGGCAAGATGGGAGATGCAGGTTCAACAAAAAAACTTTTAAACTTTTCACGTCAAAGATGAATAGCATAGTGGCTAGCTACAATAATTGTACGGTAAAAGTAGGAAGCGGGAGGGACAGTGGGTCGTAGCCGCCATGAAGCACATTAGGAAAGGGAGAAACTCAAGCGCTACACCGACAGTAAGAGAACAACTGTCCCCGTTCTTGGACGTTTGCGGCACCAGTATGTACTGCAAATGCAAATGCTAACGTAACGGCCGCTTTGGTGTTTTGGGACTCCGAGCAAGTACGGGAAATGTCTTCAGTACATTGTTACAAAGTACTACACTGAAGGCCGAAATGCTGTGGGTTTTACAAATGGTGAGCTGACGTCACTGTTATACTTCCTGCATTTTGTTAAATTGAAGAGCCTAGAGTGTGACTATTGTGCTACAAGAATATATAATATACCATTCTTTACTTACAAGCTCGTTATATTTAACGTTATGCTTTGCGTACGAGGACTTTGCTGAATAACATCACAGAAATGAATTTGAAAAGAGAGATGTATTTAGCGGTATTGAACACATGGTGGTGCTGCAGAGTTGTATTGAACGTAAACACCAGACAAGAACAGGTTTCGGCCCCTGGTATTTTTCTGCCTCCTGTTTGGCCCCTTATTTTCCTCACCTGTTGATGACTTTCAAACATTTTTTGTATTTTATGACATGATGGAGTAAAAAAAACAAACATTTTACATGTTTTTGTTGTTGTTTTTTGTTATGAAATGTTCTTCCTGTCCACCTGTAAAGGTAACAGTTGACACTTTTGTCCATGATAATATCTGTGAAATAATTTGGATTTAGTTTTTCTAATCCAGGTATTTTGGGTGAAGCACAAGGCTTTCAGTGGTGGTTTGACAGTGACTATGGCGGTCAATAACCATTTCTCTGTGTTTGCATGTGAAGGCCAGGAGTGATCACCATGCAGGCTCTGTCAGAAGAAGACCGCCGGTTGTGGATGGAAGCCATGGATGGGAGAGAACCAGTAGGTTGCTATGGTTACAGGTTGTTCTTATGCGATATGAAAAAAAGAGTGAGAGAGACATTGACGGACAACATTTCCATTAAATGAAGCGAGAGCTCCAACGTGAACAGTCATTTTACATAATTGGTCTGACTTCAGTGTGTTTCCTGTAGTATACGTACTTCAAACGAATGTACAGAGGTATAGGAAAATGGATTTAAAACAGGAAAAATTAGTTTTCTTTTTGTTATGTGCTGCACAGTTTGTCTTGTTTTTAAATTAAATAAATTTAGGCACATACAGAAATTTCAAAGTAGAAAAAGCTGAATAGTAAATACGGTGTAATTAGTTTCTAATGGTGCATTCTTGAATCAAGAATGTTCTCCAGATATGCAAGTGTTTTTCCCACCCCGAGGCTAGAAGTATGTGTTTGTGCTACGCTCCACTCTGTTATTTTGTTTCCAACACTTATTCTATCACAGTGTACGCACAGAAACACACCAAGAGAATCAGTAACTATAAATCCAACACAAGCTCAAACAAGAAGGAGCAGCTGTTCACGTGGTCCACAACAAAGCACAAAATATATTAAAAAAAAGGTTGACATTCATGTGTGGCTCTCAAGGTTACGCCTACGTGTTCCGAATGTCTTTTCTTCTGTGGCTGCCTTTTACAGGAACTATTGTGGAACATAACATCAGGATAGAGTGGAAAAATACCTTAAAAACATTTGTTTATGTTTACTTAGAGTTTTGTTTTGCATGAATAAGTGATAAATACACATTCTACATCATATAATGGAAATAAAAATGCTGACTAAGTGTGTTTATATTTTTTCCAGGTGTATAATTTGAACAGAGACAACCAGGCTGAAGGCAGTAAGTAGCTTTAATTGTCATGAACTGACAGTATCAACATTCTATGTATGTGTGTATATATAAATATATATAAAAATTTGCTGTGATTCCGACACATTGCCACAGCTCACACCTCTCCTCCTCTCCGCAGCAGCCCAGTTGGACGTCATAGGGTTCAATGTAATGAAGAAATTCATCTATGCTGTGGACACTCGAGGTAACAGGCTCTCTCAAGAGTCGGAGGTTTTTCTGCCTCTTTTCCAAGACAAAGGATTGACATTTTATTGTTATTTTATGTTATAATTTGTTGTTTGCCAACTCGCTGCATGTGCCGCCCCCTCCCTTCCCTGCAGGGGTTGAATGGTAATGAGTTGTGATTTGTTCCGTGTTTGTTAAAGGACAGGGAAAACCCAACCCGGCTAAAACTGCTGTCGAAGATTTCATATCTCGCACTCACGTAAACCTGAACTGCCTGGGTCCAATAAAACTGTGTTTCTTGGAGGAATCCTGCTGTTGTGTGGAGCAAGCTGGAATTATGGGAATTAACAACAATTGCAAAGAGTGCAGTTAATGAGATTTCATGTGTGGTAGTGTCTACTCCACTGTAGACTTGGTATATGCAAAAGCGATAAAATGTTATCAAAATGTTGGAAAATAATTGATCATTTAAAAAAAAAACCAATCAATTTCTATATTTGATTGTGTTAGATTGATGGTTGTGTAATATGAACATATACATGCATGTATATATACGTACACATACGTACTGTAAATATTATACCTAAATATACATACATATACACGTATGTAATTTAGAAAAATATATAAATTACCAATTTTTAATATAGTAAAAGTGATTTTTAAGCTATTATATGCATATAATAGCAGCCAATATGCATTTTTGTCAGCAAAGACAAAGAAAAAAATATTCTAAGCAGTCATTGGCACAATGTAGTATTTTAGATTTTTGACAATATAACAAACAATGTGGCTTTTTTAAATTGTAATATTCATATATATATATATATATATATATATAGGTATATACATACAATACCGTACCATACTGTATAATAAGAGATCCACACTTGGACATCTCATACACTCCACTAGCAGATGGTATTAGAGTGGTAGGAAATGACAGGAGTCGAAGTTCATGTGCAGGATTTCTCTCTTCCCGTTCTGGAGGACATTATCTTGTAAGGCATCACTAAGTCCACTCCCTATAGAAAAAATGTCTCCCCTAAAATGTCACAGTAAAGGTCCACAAGTGCCCTATCATTTCCTCTCTTCCTGCACATGCACATTTACATTTAGATAGTATGCAACAAATGTTTGTTGAATGATGTTCTTCACATGATGTTTCTATGAAATGAAAAGTATGAGGAAAAAAACCTCACATGGTCAAAGTGTGGGCTGCACTGTAATGTGTAGATTAAACTGTGGGTGGGAAAAATAATTAACACTGTGTTTTCCTCGACCACACAATGTGAAGTGTACGGTCCATACTACTGAACGTAACACTGTTGAATTATTTTTCCTGTAGGTATTAATGAACAAGGCTTGTACAGAATTGTGGGTGTCAACTCCAGAGTACAAAAACTACTGAGCTTGGCTATGGGTAAACACCACATCATATAATTCAACTCTGTTGTAGATCAGATTTATTTGCTTTTCCTACATCATGATATACCGTGTTCAACAGATCCAAAGACCTGTGCTGATGTGGAGCTGGAGAGTCCAGAGTGGGAGATCAAGACGATCACAAGTGCCATCAAACACTATCTCAGGTTTGTGTGAAAGAGGCTCACAGGGCTGGATGCAGGAGGTTACAGCAAATATATTCCACCTGTACAATGCTGTTGTTCTAAAATTCAAATTCTTAATCTGGTAAAGCAAATTATTCCTGCAAAAACATTAAAAGGGTAACTGTTGTGTTGATGTTGTAAGAAATTGCAAATTTCTGCATGTTTTTAGGAAAATACTGTTTTTTCTGTACATCAAAAAAAAAAAAAAAACTTGAGCGGCTTAAAACAGTTCTGGACTGCAGGCAGGACAGTCAAATACATGCGCTCCTATGTCTGTAATGTCACACTTTTGTCATTTGTGGAAGTTTTTTAAAATAAAAAAACCACCAGTTTGAGAAGAAGATAAGTCTGACTGAATCATGTCACATGCTTGTTGAAGACGTTGAAAGTCCGGTATTTTCACAACAATATTCAGTTGCATTATCGCCATATGGATTTAAAGATGCAAAAAACGTCAGGACATCCTTAGTGTCAGTGAATGTAATTCCCTTTCCTCTGCCCTCCTGCCCAAAAAAAAATTGTGAATCACTTTGGAGATTTTCAAGCTGTGCTCAGTTCACTGTGACTGAATTGATTTACTCTGTACATTACCCACACTCCTGTACACCAATGTGGTAGGCACATCAAAATCACGGGAGCCATTACTCCTCAGGCAGCAGTGGAAAACCAAAATCCAGCTGTGGTGAGGAGGAGAAAAACATACACAGAGTGAAAAAGCACTTATTCAGAACCACTCTGATAAATTGATTTGTTTGAACTGTTAGCTCTTACACCATGTTGTGATGTTTTCAATTTGACATGTCCATCTTCTGCTTGCAGGATGCTGCCTGCACCTCTCATGACGTACCAGTATCAGAGGAGCTTCATCAAAGCAGCCAGTGAGCAGTTTTCCTTTTTGTGTCTCTTATTTGCCTCTGGGTTTGTACTGATTAGAGACTGCTCACAGACCAAGATTATTTGGTCAGCATTTTGTGCACATATTAAACTAGTTTGCTAATGATTAGAGCTGAGATCCTCCTTGCTAATGTCATGCGGGTGCATGCCATTGATATGAGTAGATCAAATGTGGACATCGTTTTAACTGTGGTTTCTCATTTCCACTTTGAATATTTCAAAGACCTTTTTTCAAGCCTTTCTCTGGTATAAATTTAAGGATGAGAACATCATACGAATCATCCGGGGGGATAAGATCATGATCTCATGTTAAACTAGTTGCTAGTTGCAAATAGACCCACTGAGAAACCAGCTTACCCACTGTGCCTGCAGGATGCCTCTGTCTGTCTATTTGGTGCGGTTCAAAAGACCCCCGACTGTGTCGCTTTGTGTAGCGTGTGAGACACACACAGTATGTTAGTGACCTGCTGATATGAGTGTTTTCCTGCAATATTAATGTGATTCGAGTTCAACACAAAGGAGACTTTTCTTCATTTCTTTCTTTTTTATTAGGTCAGACAGCAGATATAATTCTGTTTCCTCTTCAAGTCTGAAGGGCTGGGGCTGTGTTATGCATTTTACAAATATTCCAAGAATGATTCAAAGTTTAGTTTTATTTATATTGAACCCGGATTTATTCTTAAAGGGCCAGGTGACAGTAAACTTATCTATTCCAGTCTGACAGGACGGTACAGCGAACGGCTTCCCTGTTGTGATGTTAGCTAGGCCTTGTGAAAGCTGAGCTGACAGGCAGAAGAAACTTGTCTCTCTGGCAACAACTGCTGAGTTAAGGTTCCAAAACGAGCGAGTGTTAATGTGGATATTAGAGGAGAGGGGCATATGTGAATGCCAAGGAAGCTGCTGTGTTACTAGCTTGGACTATGAGTGCTGTAATGCTTGCATTCACATTTCGTGACATCATAAAGCACAGGACTTTCTTTCCAAGTTGGGATTACTGTACAACTGTATGGGTCTAATTTTAGCTCAGTCCTATCAGTACTGTCTCTGTCTTTCTATGTCATTGTCGTTGTTGCGCTAGTCATGTGTGCGAGTAAATGCACATCTGCAGGAATCTCTGTCCTCAAGTGTTAGCATGTGTTTGTATTTTTCTTTCCTTTACAGAAGCTGCGAGGTGTTTTAAGGACAGTGTCCTTAATCGAACTCCCTGACCCAGCTCCACCTTTCTCCTCCTCTCGTCTGTTAACACATCACTCTCAGCTCCTCCCATCTCTCCACTCACAAAACTCCGTCCTCCTCTTTCTCTTGTTTCATCTTACTTCATACTCTCTCTCTCTCTCTCTAATTCTGCACTATTCCACCACAAGATATCTAGGTTAAACGGAACCCAAAGGCAGAGTTTCTTTTATTTATTAATTTTTTATTATTTATTTTTTGAGAAAGGAAGTAGGAAAGTGGGGAGGGAACTTTAGAAAACTGAGAAGAGAGGACGGATTAAAGGAAAGTACCTGGAATTCACATACCTGCCTCAGGCTTGTGCCAACAAGAAAACACACAGAGTTATTACTGTACTCATCTGCACTCATTTGTTTGGCATTAGGTGTTTACAACACAGGGCTTTGTCCTTATTTTCCATCACATTTCATACTTGACAATCTCCTGGCTTTAACACATATAATCCTAGTAGTCTCGAGGCCGGTAAAACCGATGTAATCACAGTCTCGTATAAGAACAGAACGTAGAAATACAGTGATTAGTGCAGTGACCTCACAGGAGGTCACAGATTTACATTCCAGCCGTATGGACGGTCTTTTGGTGTTGAGTTTGGATGTTTTCTTTGTGTGTCGGGGGTTTTCTCCAGAGAACTGCCTCATGGGATTTGACTGGTTTTTCAAACTGGCTCTGGCTGTGAATGGTGGATTGTTTCAGTTTGTGGTTCTGTTTTATACTAATGATCGGGTCAGACTATTGTAACCTCCCTTTCAGCTTGTGTGACCTGGGATTGGCTTTAGTTCCTCTTCACTTTATAACATCATAAAGCAGACAATTTATAACAGAACGTTTAGTATTACTTTAGAGTACCAACATAAAAAGAGCATTTGTTGGGATTCCAATTGTTTAGTGTTAATATGTGATTACAATGTCAACTTTTTTTAATTTCTAATTTAAGAACATAAATGACACAGGTTTTGAGTGCACTTTTATATCCCTCAAGAGAGCCAAAGGGAAGCCTTAGGGATCAACCTTGGGTATACTAATATTATATATGATCTATAGTTATTAACCTTAGCAGTCTTTGTCTGATGTTCAATTTAGGTGTTGTGCAGATGACACTGTAGTGTTTTTATTTTTGGATCACTGTGGATCAGGCACATGACAACAGCAACTACCTTTTAAAGTCGCCCCACAATTGTCTAATTCGGTTTGTTTTTAATTTTATTTCATGTTTCATGATTTTTTTCTGACTGACTGGATTAGTATTCAAAGTCATACCTTACAAAGAAAAATTTGATTGAGTTGATTCCAGAATTTGTTTCCATTAAATCTCCCACAAGTCTTCTTCACTGAAAGAAAGTCTTCCAATCCTATGATTTATTGACATAAGTGTAAAGACTGTCAAATCTGGATTAGCTCAGATTATGTATTCTTAAGATTTTGTAAATTTACTTCTAAGATGTCTTGGCAAAGACTGTAAATATATACCACATATTCAACATTCTAAAGTTTTGCCCTAATGTTAATGCCTTGAAGCCTTTTAACAATTTGACCCAAGAAAGAACTGAAGTTGAACTTTATTGAACCCATCATGTGGCTTGGATCTGAAGTGTATTAAATAATCAGTTGTTGGTGATTTCCCTAGCTGAAAGTCCTCCCTGAGGAGATGATTACCCATATGTAACTGTAAAAACATTTTTTTGTTTTTTTTCCTTTCTGTTGAGTCATATGTTGATTTTCTGACATGAGTTACACTACCTAATTTTAAACTTTTCCTGACCCTAAAGAAAGTGCAGTATAAATTCCACTCTTACAACATATTTACTCGCAGCTCCTACTAAGGAACTTACTACTAAGATCTAACCACTGTGCACTGTTTCCCGCAGTTAGTGTCACAATATCTACCAAAATTAACGTAAAGCTACAATGAATGGTCGAAATGGTCAAGTTGTTTAAGTGTAATCTTTGTAAAACCGATATCAGTATGAGTATTTTCATTTGTGTACTCACAAGTACCATTACCCATGCTACTTTAGGTTGAGTTTTAATAAATGTGCAAAGAACTGGAAGACATTGTTTTACAGTGTATTTGACACAGCTCTGTAGGAAATAGTTAGGACATCACAGTGATGTCACTTAGCAGGAAATTGCTCACAGCCTGCTTTATTTTCTTCTCATTAACTCAAGACTTTTTCAAGCTAAAACAAATCCTTCCGCATTAATTAAAAAGTCTTCAGACTGACACTGCTATCACATTAAATTGATATATTTAGGGATAAAATAAATAAAAATAACATTTAAAATAAACATATATAAGGTTTAAGTTTTTTTACATAGATAATACTGAACTCAACAAAGTTTTATGTAAAAAAAAATCTAGTGCATTTCAATATCTATTTTTTTCACTGAAAATGTCTGGGACTAACCCTGAAGTATATGTGTAAACAGTAGTATATGTTCAAATCTGAACTCCAACTCCTGCCTAAATGAAACCACTTCATCCTGTTTGACACAGCCTTTAGAATGAATGTGAATGCTGTATTATTGCCAGCCAGGTGGTGTCATTACAGCCTCCATATCTGTGGGCTGGGGCTATTCCATTTTATTCTCTGATGAAAGATGGTTAAACAGCTCCCAACACGCCTGTTGAGATTTAGATTCAGGAATTTTTCCTGGAAGGAACGACACACATGCAGTTTACAGTTACTTGAGATTTCTATCATGCACCTGTTAATGCAAATGAAAGGCATTATTAGAGAAGCACCTGCAACGTCAGTTTTGACACTTACACACACACACACACATATATAATGCTTATTAAAAATGAGCAGACAGAAGAGACACGTCTGCTTCATTCACCCTGCACACACATGTCAACCTCCCTGACTTCAATTGTAAACGACACAGAGGAATAAATAAAGGGAAGATGACACATTTGAAATGCCTTTGCCATGTTTAGAGCCATTATCTGAGGAAATATTATATAAGCCATATTATAGAGACACTCCAACAGTTCTAAGACAGATGTACAGTATTACTTACAGCTTGTTTACTATAATCGTGTAGTAGTGTGTGACTTTCTATGCAAATCCATGCAGTTTATTCAGACTTGGAAAAAGCAATACAATAATAATTTATTTCAAATGAGAAATTGAAATTCAATTAAAAAAAAGGTCAAAGGCCCATTCTCATTGGACTCTGGAGGAAATGTTGATGTTTAATAAATTATTATTTTATTATTTTTATTATTATTATTAGGTTGTAGCAGTGTTACTTTTTTAATTTATTTTTTATTACAACATTGACATTTATACAGGATTTAAATTTGATTGTTCGCATGATTAAGCCTTTTGTTACGTTGGTAAATTCATCGTTGGTAGAGAAGAGGAGTTACTGCTGTTTCACTGCATGTGTTCATGTGCATGTTTGGTTTTGTAGGTGGGTGTGCAGATGCACTGGTTGATGTGCATATTTATAGACTGTGGCTTTTCAGTCCTGTGAGTCAGGGGAAGAAAATTATATTTTTTATTTTATTTATAATGTGTATTGCCTGGCGTTGACAATCAGCCTTGATCTAGTCTTCTGTCGTCTCACGTTGGATTGGCACTGCAGCAGTGACTCATTGTAGTAATTTGTCAACAGCAGGCCTCTCTGGCCGTCTCTCTGCCCACCTTTTCATTACTATGCCTTCGTCCACCAACAAAATTAACCTGTGATTTGCTAAAGCAAACACCTTCATTTGTCTCTGCCTAGGTTGTCTGTATCTGTTTTTACTACAAAATAACTTGTCTTCATGATAGAAGTTTTTTTGCATAACCTCAGAGTTTTGTTCTGAGTAAAAATATGAATAATAATCTGACAGGAAATGCAGACATTTTGTCCAACAGTGTATGTTCTTCTGTTGCCTCCAACCAGAACTTGACAACCCAGAGGCCAGGATGACGGAGATCCATGGTCTTGTTCACCGACTTCCTGAGAAGAACCGACAGATGCTGGAGCTGCTGATGAAACATCTGGCCAAGTAAGTGGTAACAGACAACACATGAATCCTTTCCTCTCCCCATCTTCTGTCTGTTCTCTTTCATTTTACTCTTCTCCTCCCCCATCTTTCAATATACTGTAACTCATTTTCTCTCCTATTTCTTCTTCTCATTTCCTTTTGTCTCTCTCATATAATTTACCATGTCAACATTATGTATCGAGGGCATTTGCACCTGTGGCTGATAAACACAGAATTATTTTAGTGACTGCTTCTTAAATAGATGTCATAGTGTCTAGAATTATGGATGTATATTTTATTTTTACAAGTCTTGTCTACATTTATGAGAATCCATTTTTTATTCAACAAGGAGCATAAATACCATAAAATTTATGTCTGTAAAAAGTGCAATATTTGAGCCTTACATCATCGTTGCAGGGGCAAACGTTCAGAACTATTTTAGACAATTTTCTTTGTCTAATAAGAGACTATTTTAATCTCTTTTTTACAATTTAATGGATTCATTTAGAGACAAAAAGAAACCAAAAAAGTCTCTCAGTTCTGTTGTGTTCTATTCAAACTTATTCTGTTATTATTGTCTTTACTAGTCTAGTGTATTTAATTCTATTGTAGTCCAATATTTTCTATTCTAGTCCATTAAAGTTAAGTCTATTTTATTCTATCCAAATATGTTCTATTCTATTTATTTTATATATTTTTAAATATATATATTTAGATAAAAATATATATTCTATTGTATTATATTGAGTTCTATCTATTTATTCGATCCCTCTGCTCTTAGATATGTTTTCTCAGCAGCATCAACACAGAACTTTTCAAATCTAATGCCAGTCTTTTATTTCAGATTTTTCTGCATCATTGATGTTATTATTTATTCATAATCTCAGTCAAATTTACCCAGTAGTCTAAACATTGAGTGCCACAAAAATACAGCTGTTCTCTGTTTGGATCAAAAACAGGGCAATTTAAGTGTCACTGTCAATTATTTAACATATTTTCTGATATTTGTGGGTCCTTCACTTTAAACTCACCAGTCAGTACGTGGAAAACCACAGACTGTGAAAACAACTTCCTACATAAGCAATAGGCACTTAACCTCTGTCTATTGAAGGGCTTCTTCTCTGATGTCCACTGACTCAGACTAGAGGAGTTCAACCTCCTTTTACGCAAACTGCCAAGGCTTTTACTATCCCTCCTCCGCGCTCTCTCATGTATTATTATGATACATTAGTGTTTTTCACATAAACCTAACAATAAACAAATGACAAAAAAGACTCAAAGTTTACAGCTGCCTTTTTAACACATCCTGATCTAACCTTTTTTGGCTTGTTAACGTTTGGTGTTAACTCCACAGTAGAAGGAACAGTCTTTGTTTTAAGATATCATTAATTTGTATTATAAGAAATCCTGTAATGAGTATTGATAACTTTCTCTCCACACTGGCTGAAGAGGTTTTGTTGTTGCTTGAAGGCATTGGGGGAAAACATTATATCCTTGAAGTGTTTCTCCAAAGTCAATTTTCTACCTGCTGCTGAAGAACATTGACCAGAGCACTCTTTCTTCCTTTTTTTCCCATGCTGCTCTCCTTACTTGATATCACCCATTTCTAAAATCTTACAGAACTCTGTATAATAAAATAAAAAGAAATGAACTGAAGTGAAGTGAAGTGAAGAAAAGAATGGCGGAGCTACTTTTGAGGGTGCACCATGCTAGCTTTTCAGAATCAGAAATATATTACTGATCTCCAGGTGTAAATTGTTGGTTTGACAGGTGCTCCTTTAAGAGCATCTCAATAAAAGCAGGGAGATATTTATGGAGTGTCTCCCCAAACTAGTAAGTATATACAGAGACAGATTTATTTAATAAGCATTTATACAAGGTGCCTAATAACAGTGAAAGTGAAATTGTGATTGTGGGTGCACAGCAATCTCACTTTTTGACCCTGTTCCACTCTTATGTGTCTTAATTTTCTTGCACATCAGAAATGAATTTTTAATCAAATTGCACATAAATGTTGGTACAACTCAGTCTGTGTCTCATCACCTCAACAGCGTGGCCAACCACCACCAGCAGAACCTAATGACCATCGCTAATCTGGGTGTGGTGTTTGGACCCACTCTGCTGCGACCCCAGGAAGAGACGGTGGCAGCGATCATGGACATCAAGTTCCAGAATATTGTCGTGGAGATCCTGATAGAGCACCATGAGAAGGTAAGTGGGTGTGAGCGCATTCCACGAAAGAACACAAACAGTGGAGTCTGGTGACACGATGTGGGATTAAATAAAACCCCATGGCTTTGTCAGAGGGATTACGGAGATTGTGTAATCTTGCATCAAACAAAGAATAGAATACAAGGCAACTAAACCTTTATGTGTGAACACCTGTTATGGACACAGAGGGAAAGGAGAAGAGAGGTAATATGGGGGGGGGGGGGGGGGGGGGGGAGGCAGAACTGTGCATACAGCATTCTAAATACTCCTTAAAGCTACATTTCCCTTTAGATTCAGTCATTTTATTGGCGGGTCAAGCCTCTTCCAGGGGTTGCCATGGCAACAGATACACTATATTGGTGTTCAGCATTGTGCACTCAGCCAATGCCACAAAAAAAAAACCTTCAGACTAGTGTGCTCATAAAGCAGTAACACTCATTTCCTCTTGGAATTAGAAATGAATGGATGTGTGGAGGATGGCTGGTTTGACTAGGGTTGGAAGAACCTGAAGAACTGCATTTGGGAAAAATAAAATGTCCATTTGAAAAAGAAAATATTGAAAAGGTTTCTATGTAAAGTTTAGAAAGAAACTATTTTTGTTTGTTTGTTTTGCGTCAGTAGTGAGTCTTCTTTACCACTCACCAACAGAGACAAACCTGATAGACTTTTTAAATTTTTTTTAAAGAAAAACACTATCTTCTCTTATGGAATACTGAGACACAACTCCTTGTATTCTCTCCATTTGATGTCCTTCACTAAATTCATTTCTTTTGGTACTCTCATGGTAAAGAATCATTTCAGTATCAAAAATATTAAGAGCTTGAAGAACACTTTATGCGGTCATGTTTGACTTTATTAAAATAAAATAAATATAAAGTATTATAAATAAATAAAAAAAAAATTATATAAATATGTCACCTTTCTTTCTATTTGGAACATACCTTCCATCCAGTTTAGTTTCCAGCTGCTGCTAAAGTATTGTGTGGTGTACAGCTTCAAAAGTAGAAAAAATGCCTTCATCACTAACAGCCCACACCTGGTGACTGAACCAAAACATAAACAAGAAGGAAAACAAAACAACTTACTTAGTGTTCAGCTCTTGGTCTGCAAAAGGCGGCTCGTGGTCTGAAATAAAAAACCCATTGGTGCATTACTGTGGACAGGAGCCTTTGATTTTTTTATTGTGTTTGTTTGTCCACCCATACTCAACCGTACAGATATTCAAGGATGTACCAAATTCAGTGGGAGGTTCCACCAACATGCAGCTGAATCTGTCCAGAAGAAAAAGCACCGAGACCAAAGCCCCATCCTGCTGCGAGAGACCTCTGACCCTCTTCCCTACGCCCACACATTCCCAAAAAGGTGACCTAATGATGATCGTCGATCCATCTTTCAGACAGAAGAGCCGTCTTTAATTAACAGGCAACATGGTGTCAGTGATCGACAGAGGGAATTCAAAAGCGTGATGCTATTTACAGATTGTTTGTTTTTCTGTCTCTGCTGCTTTAGGTGAAAAGAGGAACAGCATCGCCAACCCTGTAGTGGGCGATCTGCTGCAGCCAGTTTCCTCTTCCTCTGCCAACTGTAACAGCAGCAGCAGTAGCAGCAGCAGCCAGAGTCGAACCCCAAGACACAGCCTGACCAGTAACGATGGAGAACAGGAAAGTCGCCAGCTGCAGCCCAGTTCATTGTGAGTGTGACAAAACAGCGTTTACTGCCAGATGTTGTCTTTTCTTGTCACTGATTTCACTGGAAAACATTGCAACATTGCAAGTTGATTATTCCAAGTAAATGTAATAAAGAATAGTCAAAACAAAATAGAAAAGAGGAAAAACAAAGATGCAGGCCTTAGAAAATTTAAATATACAGTTTTGTTGTATTATTTCAGAGCAGGTTATAGTTTGAGAAACTATTAATATTAAGTATTATATTATTATATTATGAATACAGAAAATCTACAAACACTGAAATACCTTGGTTCTTCCAAAGTCAATATAAGAAAATATTTAAAAAGAAGTGATCTAGAATAAATTTATAAAAATAAATATATAAAATCTTGGTTTAAGCCAACGCTTTTGATGTTTTTCAGTGAGAAAACAAACATATACACTACATTGAGAGGTGTGTAATGTGTGTTCACCATCAGACACTTGGGCTTCAAAAATGTGGTTGATTGTGGTTGGTTTTTTTTCTCCTGCACTTTGAAATCCACAGCATTGGAATGCATGACCGCTTTCACGCAAACATGTGCACATGTGCATACGTGGCAGATGAGAGCTGAGGCAGAGAAAGTCCCCGATGAATTGCTGGTTGTCAGTTTAAATCCCCAAAAGCTTCTGAGAAACACATGTAAAACTAGAAAGTGGAATCCCAGAAGGAAAGCCATCGTTATCTTTGTTTACTGTGAATGTATATAAAGACACCACATCCCATTCACATGGATACACACACACACGTGTGTGTGTTTGTTACATAATTTGCACGACCTGGATTTGTCGTACTGCCCACTCCTCAGACCGCCTCGGCCTTTGATCCATGTTTTACATAACCAGCGGAGAAATAGTTTGACAAGACCAGGCCTGCTTTGGTCCTTTGGCAGGGAGGAAGCATAGATCTGACTGTTTATACAATGGATGTAGTTGGCCTAAGATTTACTACCAGACATAAACACACACCTGCATATGGAATTTGCAGCGACATTCTGTCACACTTAGACACAGATGTACACAGTATGTTCAGTTTTTTCCCTGTCTGTCAGATTGTCTCTACAGCTCTTCACCAGTGGTGACTTGCAGAATGTGGAGGTGTGGTTCACGAAACCAATCATTCAGTTTACTGACAGAGCCCTAGACCTACCAGTACAACCTGTCGCTGTGATGATTGCACGTTGATGCTGATTACGTTTCCCCGCCTCCTGAATTTGTTCTTTCTCTATCTGTGCTCCTAGATTATTTTTAACACATAGTCATGAGGCAGTGATTGCATCTAGATTCTCTATGTGATTTCTGCTTCTTGAGACGTTGTTTGTCGCTCGTTTGTTCTCATACTGGATTTCTTCCCTGATATACGACACTTAAAGGCATGCAGGCAAGAGTGAATTACATAACAGCCCTTTCAGCACAATGTAAATCATGTGATCTGTGAGGGGGTCTCCAGGCTCTGTGTGCAGCCTTAGGAAATGCCAAAAGAGCAAAAATGAAACCATTTAAACCCTGCTCCACTTTACAGAAGTGTTTACTGACTAAGGTCAATGACCTGTCGGCCATAACAGGACAAATGGTGCATAAAATGACTGGTCACACTTGTAAGGAGTTGTGACCTGCCAAACATTCTGTATGTGTGCATATATAAGTGTATAATGGACTATTTAATTTTCTGACATTAGCGCAGCCTCAGCTAATGCAGCTATTAACGTCACCGATCTGGAAATAGTTTTTCCTTGTTGCGCTCTGTGATTGGCAGCACTTATGTCACTGGGCTGCAGGGACGATCAACACTGATGATTTTATTTGACATTTACAGAGTGATTTTTTTAACTACTTGGCAACAATTAAAATGAAAAAACGTAGAGCAAAAAGGTGTATGTACTGTAGATTTGAAGCTTTCTGGCTGCAGGAATTAAGGAAGTCTGAATGTGAGGAGAAGCACAAGGACCGAGAAGGATGCTCTGAGCTTTTAACATGTGGTTAATGTGCCCAGCAGCTGTTACACAGTGTGGCCGTGTTGGTGTAGGAGCTTACAGAGGTGCCCTGTGGGGTTTTTTTTCACTAACAGAATGTTATCAGTGCTTTAACAAATTGAGAATATTTTACTAGAGCTTTGGTCATTTTGGTCACACTTCATCAGCATACAGGTTTAGGTTACAACTTTGTACAATGGCTGCTGGAATTGTCTCCAACCCCCGCAACAGCTGTAGGAAAATATATAATATGGAGATAAAACAGTGGTGCTTTGGCCCAGAGGCAATGTCTCTGTCATTGGTGTGGAACCCCAGGGTTCACCTCCAGGGCAAAATTGAATCCTGGTTAGGGCTGTTGGTACCTTCCAGTGGACTCACCATCCACAGGAAGGTTTAGGGGGGGTTGGTATGAGTGCAGTGTGATTTGGGTGGCTGTCATGGAGACTGCTGTGCTGTGACCCAGCAACGGATAAGTGGATGAAAATGGATGGATGGAGATATTAAAAAGATATAATAAAGTATTTTGCAGTCACCAAGGCCTTAAACATCAAGAGTTGGTGACCTTAGATTTGATAAATGAGACTAAAAACCCCAGACTTAAACCCCACGTGGCTCAAACGTCACTGTGACAAAACAAATTCCAATTTGTACGTCTCTGATAGAAACTTCAAGGCTGGAAAACTCATATTGTGAATTGTGAATCCAATGCTGTGCAGAAGAAACATCCTGAAATTAATGCAGAGAAAAAAAATAATAATTCAAACGGAGGACATTTTTTTAGTCTTTCATCAGCTGATGCTGGCGTAGTGGCTAAATAAACAAAGACAACTGTGAAGAGAACAACGCGTGTCCAGGGATGTGTGACATACATTTGGGCCATAATTCATGCCGTCTTGTGTTCTAATACTTCAGAGAGCCTTTTGCACTCCTGTGTTTTTTCTTGCGTTCATCCTTGAAATGTGCAGGTCACGCTGCTGGTGGCGCAGCTTCATTGTGTTGAAAGCCTTTAGGCAGCGGACGATACATTCCTACTTAAGGAATCTTCTCAGTGTCATAAAGAATAATTTATCACCTTAAAGCAGATGCTGAAAGAGTGACGCTGTTGCTGCATGTCATTGTTTAGAAAATGGAACTGGTTAATTTAGTCAGTGCATATAGTGTAAGTGGATATTTTTACTAGTTTGGCTAAAGCTAATATATATATATATATATTAGTGTCTGATAAATTTTATTGCACCAATGGTTGCTATGTAAAATCACACATAATTGTGATGAAGTCAGCTGTCAGTGTCTTGTTAGTGCACAGACGAGGTCACATTTACTCCCCTCATGTTTCATCTTTATGTATTTGTTTTGTTTGTTCTCTTTCCATTTCAAATTTGACTAGGATGTTTGAATTAAAATAAATTAAGATAATTAAACTAAAGAGGACAGAGTTCAGGAAAAAAAAATTGGACTAAAAAAATTAAGAGTGAGGGACAGGCAGAGAAAGAAGACGTCTTATGGAGGCTGGTATTTAACTGGACAGGTTATTGATGCAGTTCTTAACCTCTGGGAAGTTTATTTTTGCTGAAAACCAGGAAGCTCTGAGGTGAAACTAGTGAAATATGACTGAAAGTCTGAAATTATTCTCTTTGTGCTTGTGGTTTATTCTGCCTCACATAACTTGCTTTATATAAGATGTTGTCGTAGCTGGCGTGAGTAACTATTGTGAAATCAGCTTTATGCAACTGTCTTTGTTTTCTCAGTACAGAATGTTTTACATATTGTCCATCGTATGTACACAGAACGCCTTCATGAATGAAAGAAATAACATCCATAACGTTGTAAATATTTAAAAAAGAAGCATTGATTAAAAAGTCTTAAAGCTGACAAGAAGACAGTAAAACTGTTGAATGATTAATTAACCATAAAAAAATGACCATTGTTAATAATCATGAGTGGATGTTATTGTGGCTCCCTAGGATTAACCGTGCAGAGCCGCAATTATGATGAGAATTATGAAAGTTAATCATAATAAAAAATAACTAATCGTGATTAATCCACAACTACCCAGCGGTTAAATTGATTAAAAAACGTAATCGGTTGACGGTCCATTAAATATTGGTTATACTAAGAGTATTCTTTGTTTCTATGATAGCAGGTTGAACGTTAGCACAGGCTGCTAATTTATAGCTTTTAAAGCACAATTTGTCGTTAGTCTTACAACAATAGATCAGTGATTCCTCTGTCAGTCAGTTTACTTTCAACAAAGATCCTTCTGGAAGTCACACCTGCAGACCTTTTATGTCACGTATTCATGTCTGCAGTAGTGGTTATTAAGTCTGAAGATAAAAGAATGCATGTTGGAGAAATACTCACCATTGTTTACATAGTTGACGCATAAGTTATGTAAGGTATGTGTGATGTCTTCTAACAAAGCCAGAGGAATTCTCAGATGTTCAGCTCTGATATTTGCACAAATAATCTTCTCATCACAGCAAACAGAGACTGTGAACGTCTGAAACTATGACTGTGCAAGTTTGGGCTTAATAATGACTTGTTATGAATTACTTGTAACTCTTTAACAGCAAAAGTGATGTAATATTTGCTTTGTGGCCATGAATAAATTAAGATGTAGAGTTCAGCTAATGTTGATAACATTGCAAATAGTGTTTGTTTGAAGCAGGTTTGACAGGTGTTTCAATACACAGAGCTAGAGCAGCAAGATTATGACGTTAACAGTCAAACAAAAGCAAGTAAAAACAACAGAGTGCATAAGTGGAAAAACAGGAAAATTTCAGTAAAATATTGTTAAGAAAAGAAATGTAACTATAAAAAGCTATAGAAAAATGACACAATTTCTAAAATGAACTCTTAATCTACTTAGTCTATTTCCAATCTTGAGTAAACATACAACCTTGCAGTAAAACGTGTGTGTGTGTGTATATATATATGTGTGTGTGTGTATTTTTTATTTATTTTTTAATTCTCACAGTAGCTATAGGTCTGATTTATTTAAAGTTCTAAGAATATTGTGTTGGGACCTGGTAAATGCATGTTATTTGCAAAACTTAAATGTAATTTTTTCCTTAATTTATTGCTTCATTAATCTTTGACCTTTTATCACTTTTTTCTTAATTGCTAAAGTACTTTCACAGTGTGGCTTTGGATAATACCAGCAAATGCAAATGGTGTTAGAACTTTAAAAGAGCAAATACAAGCTGACTTTATTCACAGGAAAAAAAAACTTTGATAGAAAATATCAGGGATAAATTATGATTGAATAAAATAAATGTAATTATTAATCAATCTAATTCATTTTGTGTGTTTTTTTTTTTTTAGGCTCAACCCCAAGAGTCGTGGCAGCATACCGACCAGGTACAATTTGACTTTGTTTCCTATTCTTTGATTCCAACTGTGTTACTTCTTAGTAATTTGTACGTCACATGTTTCTCCCTCAGTGCATTGTCTCCCAGCCCTACATCACCACGGTCACCGTCATGGCCGATGTTCTCAGCTCCATCTAGTCCTCAACCAACATCCTCTGCCTCCAGTGATTCATCCCCAAGCAGGTCTGTGTAAACAATTTGTGTACTTATTATTCAACCACTTCAAAAGTGAAATGTTCCCAAAAATGACAATAAGCACACTAATTTGCCTAAAAACATGTAGCTATACACATTTTTAAGCTTAAAAATAAGAAAAAATATATTTTTGGTATATCAACTTTTAATCAGAAGTAACATATTATAGTAATAATCTTCTGAAAAGGTCTTGAAAAATAAATTGTCCTCAAAAATGAATAAAAACAAACTAATTTACCTAAAAACATGTATCTATATACATTTTAATGCCTAAAATTGAGAAAAAAGTAAAAGAAAATTATGTCAGCCTTTAATCAGATATAACATAGTATAGTAATAATTTCATGTAAAAGTCTTCAAAAATAAAATGTCCCCAAAAATGAATAAAAACAAGCTAATTTAAGTAAAACATGTAGCTATGTACATTTTAATGCCTAAAATTGAGAAAAAAGTAAAAAAAAATTATGTCAGCCTTTAATCAGATATAACATCGCATAGTAATAATTTCATGTAAAAGTCTTCAAAAATAAAATGTCCCCAAAAATGAATAAAAACAAACTAATTTACCTAAAAACATGTATATGTCTAAAATTGAGAAAAAAGTAAAACATTTTATGTCAGCCTTTAATCAGATATAACATAGTATAGTAATAATTTCATGTAAAAGTCTTCAAAAATAAAATGTCCCCAAAAATGAATAAAAACAAAGTAATCTACCTAAGAACATGTATCTATATACATTTCAATGCCTAAAATTGAGAAAAAAGTTTAAAAAAATGTCAGCCTTTAATCAGATATAACATAGTATAGTAATAATTTCATGTAAAAGTCTTCAAAAATAAAATGTCCAAATTTTATTTTATGTCAATGCCCAAAAATAAATAAAAACACACTAATTTGCCCTTTTCTCCTGTACCTGGAGCAGGTACCACACACTGGCGACTGAAATCAAGCAGACACCAAACTGTGTTTCCAAATTATATTTATATTCAGCCATACAAATATAAATTAATCACTTTGTCTCCTATCTTTGTCTCCTCACCCAGTTTCACGGGCAGGAAAGCTCGTGCATTGTATGCCTGCAAAGCTGAGCACGACTCAGAGCTGTCCTTCATCGCTGGGACCATCTTTGAAAATGGTGAGTCATGTCTGAGGTCTCACACACAGGAAGAAAAGAATATGTGGGCTGGAGTTTCTATAACAACATACAATCACTGCTGAAACAGAAAGCCAATCCTGGGAGTATGCTTCATTGCATTTATTTTGCTTTGGAAGTTTTGGACTTTAAAGTATGTAGCTTACTGAAATGCTCACTGACCGGGGCCAAAGAATATAACTGTGAAGCTCAGATTTACCCTTGAGTACTATTTAAATACTTAAATTTAATGGCTGCTGCTCTGACTCAAAGTTTCTCTCTAACAGCATTTGGTCGGCAGTCATAGCCAAACAAAGCAGCAAAGAAGTATATTTTTCTTTTGGTCAAGTATGTATCTAAAGATTAGCCTAAGACCCTATTGTACAAACACCATTTCAGAAATATCAGACACAGATTATTTAAAAAAAATGCCATTTATTGATTCAAACAAAGTACCAATGTAGCATAACCACCAAATAATAGACATAGCTACGTACAGTATCTGCTCCCAGGCTTGACTGCTATCAGTTTTGGACACAATGTAACATCATAATTACAGAGTATTGTGGTTCTCATAAGAACCACAACTACACACTGAACTAATGAAAAATGGATGAAAAAAAATTGTTGTTAGATTTAGCTAACATGCTAATATCTTTTCATACCAACAGGTTGAAGGGAATGCAATCACAATTTTGTTGTCATGTTAGAGAGAGAGATAGATAGATAGACAGATAGATATCTAACTGTCTATCTATCATCTATCTATCTATCATCTAGACAGACAGATAGATAGATGATAGACAGATATCTATCTGTCTGTCTGTCTGTCTATCATCTATCGATCTATCATCTAGCTAGATAGATAGATAGACAGACAGATAGATAGATAGATAGATAGATGATAGATATCTCTGTCTATCATCTATCTATCTGTCTGTCTATCTATCTATCTAGCTAGATGATAGATCGATAGATGATAGACAGACAGACAGACAGATAGATATCTGTCTAACATCTATCTATCTGTCTGTCTAGATGATAGATAGATAGATGATAGATAGATAGATAGATAGATAGATGATAGATAGATAGATAGATGATAAATAGATATTTAGATGTATATCTGTCTATCTATCTATCTATATAGATGACAGAGATATAGATAGATAGATAGATAGATATCTGTCTATCATCTACCTATCTATCTACCTGTCATCTATATATATAGATAGATAGATAGACAGACAGATAGATAGATAGATAGATAGGTAGATAGATGATAGACAGAGATATCTATCATCTATCTATCTTATATCTATCCATCTATCTATCTATCTATATATCTGTCATCTATATAGATAGATAGATAGATATCTGTCTATCATCTACCTATCTATCTACCTGTCATCTATATATATAGATAGATAGATAGATGATAGAAGATAGATATCTATCTGTCTATCATCTACCTATCTATTTACCTATCTATCTGTCATCTATATAGATGACAGATAGATAGATGATAGACTGATAGATATCTATCTGTCTATCATCTATCTATCTATATTTTTCTTTTGGTCAAGTATGTATCTAAAGATTAGCCTAAGACCCTATTGTACAAACACCATTTCAGAGATATCAGACACAGATTATTTTAAAAAAAATGCCATTTATTGATTCAAACAAAGTACCAATGTAGCAAAACCACCAAATAATAGACATAGCTATCGATCTATCATCTATATAGATAGATAGACAGACAGATAGATAGATGATAGACAGATAGATATCTATCTGTCTATCATCTATCTACCTATATGTCTATCTATCTATATAGATGACAGATAGCTAGATAGATAGACAGGTAGATATCTATCTACCTGTCTATCTAGCTAGATGACAGATAGATGATAGACAGATAGATATATATCTGTCTATCATCTATCTATCTATCTAGATGATAGATAGATAGACAGATAGCTAGATAGATAGATAGACAAATAGGTAGATAGATGATAGACAGAGATATCTATCATCTATCTATCTTATATCTATCCATCTATCTATCTATCTATATATCTGTCATCTATATAGATAGATAGATAGATATCTGTCTATCATCTACCTATCTATCTACCTGTCATCTATATATATAGATAGATAGATAGATGATAGA